TGAACTTCTGAGATCCGATGAGATCGGGCTATACCTTGCCACCTTCGTTCCCCAGAGCATACCATAGGATCTAGAGACTTGTGTTTGTGTGTGTGCTTAAAAATGTGGTGGGGGGCTACCAATGCAGTCTTTGTCTCATCGTCTCGTCAGGTATAGGCACGAAATCGCACACGACGGGCAGAGGATCTACATCCTGGGAGGCGGCACTTCCTGGACAGCCTACTCCTTGGACAAGGTGAGGGGCCCAGCCGCAGAGGTCTTCTGGCGGGGTGACCGCAAGCTGCCGTCTAGGGGAGAGAAGCGAGAGGAAGCAGAGCGAGTGCCGTATAAAGAGCCAGTGCAGAATGTCGAGAGGGACTGGGAATTGGAGGGACTCGAGCAGACCGCTGAGTGAAGGGCATTTGGGGGGGGGGGGGCTGGGTCCTAGCAATGCAGCACAGCGAGTGATTACAGCGTGGAATTTTCTGCCAGAGGATGTAGTGATGGCCACGGGCATAGACGGCTCTCAAAGGAGAGCAGATTCATGGCAAATAGGCCTATCAGTGGCTACTAGCCGTGGTGACTAAAGCGAACCTGGGGGGGGGGAACTCAACCCAAAATCAGCTGCGAACCAAGAGGGTCAAGCTACAAACTATATTATACAAAAATACAAAATGTTTATGAGGGTGTACACAGTGGAGCTGCGGTGGCTCAAGTGGTTAAGACGCTGAACTGCAGGCTGTGGAAGGTCAGTAGTTCAGCAGTTTGAGACCCGAGTGTGCCGCATGATGGAGTGAGCTCCCATCTCTAGTTCCAGCTCCTGCCAACCTAGCAGTTTGAAAGCAAGAAATTGCAAGTAAATAAATAGGTTCGAAAGCAAGAAATTGCAAGTAGATAAATAGGTACCACTTCAGTGGAAAGGTCACAGTGCTCCGTGCACCTTGGTATTTAGTCATGCCGGCCACATTACCACGGAAACGTCTTCGGACAGCGCTGGCTCTTCGGCTTTGAAACGGAGATGAGCACCGCAACCCTAGAGTCGGATTCGACTGGCTTTCGAGCAAGGGAAACCTTTACCTTTACACATAACTAAAACATACAGCGGTTAAAAGAAATAGTCTAAGTTTCAGACTTAAAAGGCTTGTACAACCAAGTTAGTTATTATACAAATACAATTGATGGCTAAAAATCTTTTGATCCAAGGACCATACACATTTCAGCCCCTTCGGGCCTTCCTCAGTGGTCGATATTCTTTAGAAGGAGAGCCCACCACCTCCCGAGGAAGCCTGTTCCACTGAGGAACCGCTGCTCTAACTGTCAGGAAGTTCCTCCGAATGTTTAGCCGAAAAATCCTCTGATTTAATTTCAACCCGCTGGTTCTGGTCCGACCGAACTCCACACCATCCTCTCTATGACAGCCCTTCAAGGACTTGAAGATGGTGATCCTATCACCTGTCCGTCATCTCCTCTCCAGGCTAAACATACGCAGGTCCTTCAGCCTTTCCTCATAGGACCTGGTCTCCAGACCCCTCACCCTTTTCGTTGCCCTCCTCTGGACACGTTCCAGCTTGTCTGCATCCTCCTTAAATGGTGGTGCCCCAAACTGAAGACAATACTCTAGGTGAGGTCTAACCAGAGCAGAGCAGGTCTGTTCCATGATCCTTCCCAGCAGGGCTATTTTTGGGCAGGAACGCACAGGAACGGCGTTCCGGCTGGCTTCCAAGTTGGCCACACCCAGCAGGAGCTCATTAGCATAATAGGCCACACCCAACAGCAGAAACGCATTAGGATTGGCTACATTAGGGGTGTGTGGCCTAACATGCAAAGGAGTTCCTGCTACAAAAAAAGGCCCTGGGTTTGGACAACAAACAAGGTAAACAGAATAAGAAGCAAAAGGTGGGTGTGGCTGGATGACCACGCTTCTGGTAACATGGGGGTGCGGCCTAATATGCCAATGAGCTGTGCTCTCAGGGGTGTGGCCTAATATGCTAATGGGTTTCTGCTGTTGGGTGTGGCCTATTATGCTAATGAGTCCCTGCTGGGCTTTTTCTACAAAAAAAGCCCTGCTTCCCAGTATCACCGGATCCTTTCTATCTCTGCAGATCCATGCCTATAACCTTGAAACAAACACTTGGGAGGGAATCGCAACAAAGCCTTACAATAAAAAAGGTGAGTCTTTAAAAAATGCGGCCTTCTTGGAGATGAGGGGTTGGAGGAGCCGGAGGGAGGGAGAGGTGTGTGACTCTTGAGGAGAAGTCTCAAAGAGAACTTTATCAAAAATATTACCCCTTTTAAAAAATTTTTACTTGGATATGGAATACCTGCCAAAAGGGTGACATAAATTCAGCAAGGACGTGATATTCCCCCCCCACACACACACAGTTGTTACCACAGGTCAGGTGCTGTGAAACATTTCCCTGAAAACACGTTTCTGTTGCGTTTGAATGCTGGACTTTGAGTCCTTTTGGGCAGTCCTGGCCATTGGGACCGCTCCCCCGTCAGAACACCTCCTCGAGGCCTCTGGCCAAATGTCAGAACCCACAGCCAACAATGTACACACTTCTTGGAAAGGTTATACTTTTATTGAAGAGCCATAGATGCATAAACACAGTCACTGTTAAGAATAGCAATAAATTATAAGAAAACAAATATGTTATTAAAAAACTGTACCCCATATCAAACAAAATATTTAGAAAAATTAATAGGTATAAAAACGGTTACTAAAATCAAATATCTGGGAGTGATTATATCAAAAAGAAATAATGCACTAGTTGAAGATAATTATGTTAAACTCCTAACAGACATAAAGAAAGATTTGCAAAAATGGGAAAATGTACAATTATCATTCATGGGAAAAATTGCTGTACTTAAAATGAATGTATTACCGAGATTCCTCTTTCTAGCACAAAACATTCCAATATTGAGAAATGCGAAAATGTTTAATGAACTAGATAAAATGTGCAGAAAATTTGTGTGGGCAAACAAGCCAGCACGTATAAAATGGAAAGTCTTGCAAGATCAAAAAGAAAGGGGAGGGCTAGGCCTACCAAATTGGAAACTTTACTACTGGGCCGCGGCAATGACTTGGATAAAAGATTGGGCTATCCTAGAAAACGCAAGACTGTTACTGCTGGAAGGCTGGGACCTAGACATGGGTTGGCATGCCTATATAGGATATGGGAAAGATAAAATCCACACGAAATTTAACCAGCATACGATCAGAGGAGCATTAAATAAAGTATGGCAAGAGATCAAAGATAAATATTACCTTAAGACACCTAAGTGGTTGTCTCCAATAGAGGCCTTTACAATGCCTTCTTTATTGTCAAAAACGATGATAATAACTTATGATGCCTTATTACACCCAAATGGAACCTTAAAAACACGAGAAACCCTAGAAAAACAAGGTATTAAATTAACATGGTGGCAGAATATGCAGTTGAAAACAAGATATGATAAAGATAAAAAGAATGGTTTTTATCACGAGAAAAATGACTTAGATAAGCTGTGGTTATCTACAAATGACAAATTGATACAAAACATGTATAAGTTGTTTTTGGTAACCTATGAATTGGATGAGGAAGTCAAAAGTACGATGATCTCTTGGATGCAAGACTTTGGCTATGTTATAGAAAACTGGTCAACTACGTGGGTAGCTGCAAAAAATTTAAGATCTATTCCATATAAGGAAAATGTGTTTAAAATGTTCCATAGGTGGCACTGGTCACCAGATAAACTAGCCAAGTGTTACCCAAATATGTCCAAGAATTGTTGGAAATGCAAGAATAATATAGGTACTTTCTACCATTTGTGGTGGAGATGTACCTTGACTCAACGATATTGGCATAAGGTACACAAGATGTTGACTGATATACTTAAAATAGAGGTACCATACCAACCTGAATTCTTTTTGTTAAATGTTATACCAGAGAAATATAAAAGAGAAGAAAAATATGTTATGGGATATGTAAATACTGCAGCGCGTATTTTATTTGCCAAGAAATGGAAACAAGGGGGAATACCTTCAAAAAATGAATTAATTACTAAAGTACAGGAAGTGGTTGAAATAGACAAACTGACATCAATATTGCAGAATAAAGATCCCAAATTATTTCAAAACAGATGGGAAATGTTTTACAAATGGCTAGAGACAACTTTTTAACCTGTTAAACATGACACTGTAAGACTCCAGAAGTTGATGCTTATGTAAACTGAATGTAACCCTCCCCACAACAGACGCCCTGTGAGGCAGGTGGGGCTGGGAGAACTCTGACACAAACTGCTCTTTTTCAAGGAGAGCTGTGCCAGAGCTTGTGACTGACCCAAGGTCACATCAGCAGGTGCAAGTGGAGGAGTGGGGAATCAAACCCGGCTCTCCCAGATTAGAGTCCGTGGACTTAACCACTACACCAAACTGGCTCAAAGTAGAGAGAGGGATGCGAAAGCAATTTACACAGACACTGAAAGAACATCCCAACCCCCATGGCAGCATAGCTGACACCAGTGCGGAAGGCCGGCATGGTATACGAGCTGGAGTGTCGGACTGGAACCCGGGACAACCAGGTTCGAATCCCTCACTCAGCCAGGGAAGCCTGCCGGGTGACTTTGGGCCTGTCACAATCTCTCGGCCTGAGCCCCCCTCACAAGGTGGTGGTTGTGAGGACTAAGTGGAAGGAGGCTGGAGTGAGAGACTGACTGACTCTTGAGGAGAATCTTGTCAAAAATACTTTCCTTTTTTAAAAGAAATTATTGGTGAATATGAAATATCTGGCAAAATGGTGACATAAGTTCAGCAAAGGACGTGATATCCCCCCCCCCCCCGTTAAGTTGTTTACCACAGTTCAGATGCTGTGGACATTTTCCTTGAAAACACATTTCTTTTGAGTCTGAATGTTGGACTTTGACTACTTTTGGGCAGTCCTTGCCGTTGGGACCTCATTCATGGAGGATGAGTCTGTCAATGGCTGCTAGGCCTGGTGACTGAAGGGAACCTCCACGTTCAGGGACAGTCCACATCTGAATCCCAGAACCAGGAGGCAACATCAGGGGAAGGCCTCGGCCTCTCTGCCTTGTTGTTGGCCCTCCAGAGGAACTGGTTGGCCGCTGTGTGAGACAGGATGCTGGACTAGAGGGACCCCTTGTCTGATCCAGCAGGGCTCTTCTTCTGTTCTTATGAAGGCCTCAGCCTCTCTGCCCTGTTGTTGGCCCTCCAGAGGAACTGGTTGGCCCCTGGGTGAGACAGGAGGCTGGACTAGATGGAGTACTGGTCTGATCCAGCAGGGCTCTTCTGATGTTCTTATGAAGGCCTCAGCCTCTCTGCCCTGTTGTTGGCCCTCCAGAGGAACCGGATGGCCACTGGGTGAGACAGGATGCTGGACTAGATGGACCCTCACTGGTCTGATCCAGCAGGGCTCTTCTGAGGTTCTTATGAGGGCCTCAGCCTCTATGCCCTGTTGGTGGCCCTCCGGAGGAACTGGTTGGCCACTGTGTGAGACAGGATGCTGGACTAGATGGGCCCTCACTGGTCTGATCCAGCAGGGCTCTTCTTACTATTTGAAAAGCCGCTTTTGAGTCCCAGATCAGAGAGAGAATAAAAGAGAAGAAACTGGATTTATACCCCGCCCTTCACTCCCCAAAGGAGTCTCAGAGCGGCTTACAAACTCCTTTCCCTTCCCCTCCCCACAACAGACACCCTGTGAGGTCGGTGGGGCTGAGAGAGCTCTGGCAGAAACTGCTCTTTTCCAAGAACAGCTCTTATCAGAGCTATGGCTTGCCCAAGGTCATCCAGCAGGTGCAAATGGAGGAGTGGGGAATCAAACCCGGCTGTCCCAGATTAGAGTCCGCGCACTTAACCGCGACACCAAACTGAGGGAGCGCTTTTTGCTTTCCCTGCATCACGTTCAAATCAAACCCAAAATGTGCTTCAGAGGAGCGGGGAGTTCTGCTCCCTCCTTCCTTGGTATTCCTTTCTCTGGCTTAAACCGTTGCCCCAACAAAGAGGAAGTGTCTTGCTGGGCCGCTGTTTGCACTTCCTTCACCTGCTCTTTTGTCCTTCAGAGTTCCCGGCCGCCAGGAGGTGCCACAGCTGCGTGCAGATAAAAAACGGTAAGCACAGCTGACACATCCGCCGTGCCATACGGGCACAGCAGCATTTCCCATTTGGGGTGGAAGGGAAGTGTCCTTGGGCTGAAACGGCCGCTGTCCCACCCGCAGCCGTCCCCCCCCCCCCCCCCCCCACCCGCGAGCCTCTGGCAAGAGCCGCCGGGAGAGAAACAGAAGGCTGGTGGGGCTAGGATAAGAGCTTTTCGATTGGGGGCTTAAGAAATGCAGGGGTAGAGTTGCCATGTCCCCTTTGCTCGCCAGTGCGGGGTGGGAGGGAGCTCTCCGGGAGTGCGGGGGCAACACAACGATGTCACTTCCGCGTAACGTCAGCACGCGTTGGGGTGTTGTGCCAGGTGGTGACCGTCGGGCAGAACGTGCCAAATCGAGGGATCCCCTGCTCCCAGGCAGGGGTCATTCCGTAGAAAAAGAGGTGCAGGCGCTCATTAGCATAAATCATGAGCATAACTCATTTGTATATGCCACACCCCCTGACATCACCGGAAGTGTGTCGGAGGGCAACACTCACTGCTCAGGCTCCACTGGACTCTTTTGGATTGCTAGCTATTGGGGGGGGGGAGTGCAGCTCTGCCCTCGCAAAGGAGGGGGAGCTTGTACCTGAGTAAACCTTGGCCTTAAAGGTGCCACCGGACTGTTTTGGATTGCCAGCTATGGGGGGGGGAACGTGCAGATCTGTGCAGGAAGGAAGGAAAGGAGGAGGGAAAGAGAGAAAAAGAGAAGGAAAGAAGGAGGGGAAAAGGGAAAGAAAGAGGGAGAGAAGAAATAAGGAGGGAAACTGAAAGAAGGAAAAGGAAGAGAGAGAGAGAGAGAGAGAAAGAAAAAGAAAGAAAGAAAGAAAGAAAGAAAGAAAGAAAGAAAGAAAGAAAGAAAGAAAGAAAGAAAGAGGGAAAACAGATGGGGAGGGAGGGAGGCTCTCCCACCTCACCTCCGATCTAGCCCCCGCCTGGGGCTGCTGGCTTCTAGCATGTGCCCGCCCCCTGGGCTCTTTACTGCCGGAGCCCCGCTCCTGTGTGCTCCCGCAGGAAATGACCCCTGCTCCCAGGGGAGATGGAGTCCACGTGGCCCTCTTCTCCACTGATCATAGGCAGGCCACACGTCATGGTTTAATGTATTATTATTAGTTGTTTTTTTTTATGGCTGTATTTATTAATCCCCCCCACCCCCTTGCTGCCGCAGGGCTCTGGGAGGTGTACAACCACAGATAAAAACAAGATGAAACCAGTTAAAACATCGGCACAACACTAAAGACAACCAGATGGCGAACAACCCATCCCCATTCCAACACCCACTACAGGCCACTTCGCGCTCAGGGGAAGAGGGCAAAATAAGCAACTGAGAACGGGAAGGGTGTCAGCCGAGATGGAACCGTTGCTGTCCTCAGCCGAAAGCCTGGCGGAACATCTTTGCCTCGCAGGCCCTGCGGGATTGCATCAGATCCTGCAGGGGCCTGATGGGATTCGGCAGAGAGCCCCGCCAGGTTGGGGCCAGGACCGAAAAGGCTGAGGTCAGCCGGATGTCACTAGGGCTAGGGATCACCAGCCGATGGCTGTCTAAGGAGCGCAAGGCTCTCCTGGGGACATAATGGAGGAGCCGGTCCCGTAGACAGGCCGGTCCCCGACCGCTCAAGCGGCGGGGCTTCAGTGCTGGGAATTAACACCCCGGCAAACTTGGGTATCAAAACCTTTAAAAGGAATCAACCACCAAGGGAGGGACCTTAGATCGTTTTTCCGGCCCAGCATTTGAAACGGAATTCCGCCTCGCTGGAACGGTCCTTGGCAAAAAGGGGGGGGGCTCTCGGGCGCAGTTTGCTGGGGGCCGGACTTATCCACGTCCCCTCTGGTTTTGTCTCGGCTCCCAACGCAGACGTCTTCGTGTGCGGGGGATACAACGGAGAAGTGATCCTCGGAGACGTCTGGAAGCTGAATCTGGAAACCTTGCAGTGGGTGAAACTCCCGGCCGTCATGCCCGAGCCAGTTTACTTCCACTGCGCCGCCGTGACTCCGGTAAGTGGCCGCGAGCTCCGCCCCGCCCCCCCTTTCTGCAAAGGTCACCTGACCGCCGGGCCGTAAACTAACCAGTGAACTAGACGGGAAGACTAGAATTCAATACTGCGGAGTCCCGTGATTCCCAGTCTCCTGATAAGGTCAGGCCCTGGCAGAGCCGCCGTTAGATGTGGCCAGTTTGTGCCCCCCCTTCCTCCCCCTCCCCAACCTCGAAGCCTCCAGTAACACCTGCCTGCTGGACTGCTGCTCCTGGAGCATGATAGGGGCATCCCTGGGAATCTGTTCCCGCTCTGGGACTCAGCTGCTTTGGTGACTCCCGAAAGATCCTCCCCTGCCACATATTTTGTTAGTCTTGGAGGTGCTCCTGGACTCTTGCTCATTTCTACTGCTAAAGAGAGAAAACGCTGCAAACTGGCACCCCCCGTCTGCTACCTTATCATACCCCTCTGTGGTATGAATGAGAACATAAAAGATTTTTCCCCCCTTCTGATTATTCATATTTTTCTGTTTTTATAGATTTTTCTCCTAAGTAAGCTCAAGTGGTTAAGACGCTGAACTGCAGGCTGTGGAAGGTCTGTAGTTCAGCAGTTCGAGACCCGAGTGTGCCGCATGACGGAGTGAGCTCCCGTCTCTAGTTCCAGCTCCTGCCAGCCTTGCAGTTCGAAAGCAAGAAATTGCAAGTAGATAAATAGGTGCCACTTCGGTGGGAAGGTAACAGCGTTCCATGTGCCTTGGTGTTTAGTCATGCCTGTCACATGACCACGGAAACGTCTTCGGACAGCGCTGGCTCTTTCGCTTTGAAACGGAGATGAGCACCGCAACCCTAGAGTCGGATTCGACTGGCTTTCGAGCAAGGGAACCTTTACCTTTTAAGATTTTATTAGGATGTAATGAAGGCCTATTAAATAGTAGGCCTTTCCCTTGTAGGTTAGGTTATTCCGCTGATGCTAGCAGACAAGAAGACGACATTCTTTTGGTATAGAAGATAGTTCATGGTTTTTAGTTGTTCAGGGTAAGATTTTGCAGTGTCTGGGTCAGAAAGGATTTTAGCTTCGTATCAGGAAAAACAAACACCTTCGCTTGGCTATGAAGAATCCTTGGCCAACAAACACCTTTGTTTGGGTATGAAGAATCCTTGGCCAATATTATTCAGATTAGGTTAAGTAAATGTTTGAAGATATTTTGTAGGCGCACCTTTTTTCACATTTGACCAATGAGTGGACTCTTACTCAAATGATGCATTGTTCTTTGTAACCAATTATGCTTTTTGAACGTTATCTCCATGGCTATGTCATTTCGGGTATAAAATTTCACGTACTTCCCGACTGTGTTCAGAAAGCAGTAATTTTTCGATGGCCTGTTTGGCCTGTTTTCAGCTGTCTTGATAGCAATTAAAACACTATGAGCCTTCCTCCTCATTTTGACTTCATTTTTTTGATTGGGAACCTGTTTGTATAATACCCCTGAGCCTTCCTGTCTGTACCCAGAAGGTGGCGTGTCTCTATGAGCAGGACCCGGATAGTTTTAGCTCTTCCCAGAAGCCAAAGACAGACTTTCTTTTTCTTTTATTAATAATTATTAATAATTTTTAATGAATTTTTAACAAGACAGAAAAAGGTAAAGGTTTCCCTTGCTCGAAAGCCAGTCGAGTCCGACTCTAGGGTTGCGGTGCTCATCTCCGTTTCCAAGCCGAAGAGCCAGCGCTGTCCGAAGACGTTTCCGTGGTCATGTGTCTGGCATGACTAAACACCAAGGCGCACGGAACGCTGTTGCCTTCCCACCGAAGTGGTACCTATTTATCTACTTGCAATTTCTTGCTCTCGTACTGCTAGGTTGGCAGGAGCTGGAACTAGAGACGGGAGCTCACTCCGTCATGCGGCAACTCAGGTCTCTGAACTACTGAACCTTCCACAGCCTGCAGTTCCGCGTCTTAACCACTTGAGCCACCACAGCTCCAACAAGACAGAACAAAACCACAAATTACAGAATAAAAACATACACAGGTTTCCATCCCACAATCCTTCAGCTTATTTGGAGTGTCTCCTCCTATGTCTTTGCACCAAACATTTTTACATGAATTAATCTTATTATTTGCATATGGTCAAGATTTAATACAATTCTCAGTCCATTTGTAGAATCTTGACCAAACCTCTTTAAATATGTTACCTCTTCTTCCTTGAAGTAATACAGTTAACGTGTCCATTTCAGCTGTTTCCATTAATTTGTAGATCATTTCTTCTTTAGATGGTATGTCTTCTTTTTCCCACATACTGGCATATAGAATTCTGGTTGCTGTCACAACATGGGTAGACCAACTTTCTTTCTTCTTCCGTCAACCCCCCAGGCTGGCTGCATGTACGTCCACGGTGGTGTGGTAGACATCCTCCAAAACAAACGGACTGGCTCTCTCTTCAAGATGTGGCTGGCGGTGCCCAGCCTGCTGGAATTATCCTGGGAGAAACTTCTCGCATTCTTCCCTCACCTAGCGAACCTCTCCCGATCGCAGCTTTTGCACCTGGGACTCACGGACAGACTCATTGAACGCTTGGAATGAGAGCCGCCCGCCCCCCGAAACACTTAATTTAAAAGCGACTCCCCCTACTCTTTCCTTCTTTCTTTCTCCCCCGCCCCCCATTTATGAATATCGCCGAGGATGCTACTAAGGAGACGGAAGGCCCCGCTCCGAAGCCTTACTCGGCAGAACGCGGCAGAGGCCTCCCCATGGATCCTTAAGTTTATGGAAGTCGGCTTTTTTAAGAGAAACTCACAGATACCTATAAATATATCATGAGCTAAAGTATGCCGTCGCTGAACTAATTCCTACCGCTTTGGCTGCATGCTTGTAGTTTTAAGACTGGAAGGGGGGGTGGCTATCTTTGGCTGGCCTCCCCCCTCCTAGCTGTTGTTTCGTGAGGTGCGCTTAATGGCATTGAATTCGCTGAAGCTCAGCGGTTCCGGCGATCTCTCTGAAGGGACGGGCCATGAGCCCGGCGCGCCGGAATCCGTCCCGCTCAGTCGCTGCCGGGCCTGCGACATGCGCCGAAAGGTCCGAGCGACGTCTGTTGCCCTCCGGCTGTTAATGTCCGGAGGCCTCACCTTGACTGTTGTGCAAACGTGTTGTCTGTTTCTTGCCTTTTGACTCCGAAACGTCCAGGGAGAGGCCGGCCGACGCAGCGCCCATCCTGAGAGCGCCACAGTCCTTTCCTCACGGGGCGGGAAGGCGTGCAGATGGCCAACAGGCCTTACACTCCTCACTCGCGTCCGACGTCGAAGTCGACGGAACAAAGGAATCACAAGTTGTGAATGCCGCGCCCTCCCTTTTTGTTGGCTTTTGCAAGTGATGTGTAAGAGTGAATTGGAAACGTTACACTTCGCGCCGTAGCTGAAGCAGCCGGCGGCTTTCCCCGCTGTAGGTTATTGGTGGAATTGCCTTCTCCCCCCCCCCCCCCCCCCCATCTTTTTACAAAAATCCCGTCGCAGCGGGCCATCGATTTTGATTGTACCTTCCCAGGTGGGATCTCCCGAGACCCGTCTGCTAGGAGAGGCGCCTCCCGTGGGGAGGAGGAGTCTTCTTGCGTGGCAGGAAGTTCCTCCCACCCGCGGTAAAACGCCTCCTCGGTCAGAAGGGTTCTGTGGGGAACCCCCCAGCCTTTGTCACGGGTGGATTTTGAGTGTGGGCAAACCGTCTTGCCCTCGTGCCACGAACAGTATTTGCCTTTTCTCAAGTGCTGGGGAAAGAAACCATGTTTGTGTCTTAACTGCCGTGTCCCAAACGGAAGTTCTGTAGAATGTATCAACAACCATCACGTTAAGCGTCCCATCTTGCCGGAGACAATAGGGGTTTGATCTTCTTGTATGTGTGTGTGTGGGTTTGTTTTTTTAAAAATAATTGTACATGAAATCCTATTTTTTTTTGGCTGAGTGTCCTTTATATATAGATATAAAAAGTCCGTTAGCTGCCTCTGGTTAAATGCTGTGTGCCTACCGCAAGGCTCAGGGTCCGGGCAGTGGTTCTGGTCTTTGGGCGGTACGTATTTCAAGCCATCACCAGCACTGCCCCCCCCCCAAAAGGCATGTTTGCCTTTTAGAGAAGAAGAAGAGGAGATTGGATTTATACCCTGCCCTTCACTGCCTGAAGGAGTCTCAGAGTGGCTTACAATCCATTTACAAAAGAACCTCCTCAGGAAAGCTCCTCCATTAGCATGTTTCACAGCATGGGGAGCTCCTACAAGATAATGACTCAGCCCTACCCCACCTTCCTGAGTAGATAGAAATTACCTGCCTGCCATTTTTTCTTCTCAGCTTGACACAGAGAGTACTCCACCTTTCTGTGTTATACCTCTGAGGATGCCAGTCACAGCCGCTGGCAAAACGGCAGGTCCTCCAATGCCAAGACCACAGCCACACGACCCGGGAAATCTACAATAGCTAATCTTTCCCTCCCCCTCCCCACAACAGCCACCCCGTGAGGTAGGTGAGGCTGAGAGAGCCCTCTCGAGAACTGCACTTGAGAGAACAGCTCTAAAGTAACTTGTAACTGAGCCAGGGTCACACCAGCAGCTGCATGTGGAGGAGTGGGGACTCAAACCCGCTCCTAACCACTACCCCAAACTGGCTCTCTACTGAAGCACCTGTGTTAAGACCTACCCAGCAGAAGCAAACAGTGAAGTTTTTTGTCGGGCATATTGTTTCAGCCAGCGAAAGGAAAACACGTCTGCGTTTATTCCTTGACAGTAACAATTCTTGGAAGGGGAAGAACTGCTCTCAAGCATACAACAGCGAGGACAAACGCCGGAGTCTGTCAAAAGTAGACTGTTCCTGAACATACTCGCGGAACGGCACTGGAAAAGGGACAGGCGCGTGCAAAAATCCAAAGAGTACAACAGAAGTCGAGGCGCTCAGTGAACAGGCAGGAAGCCATGCAGAATTGTCACTTCTCAATTCTAACAAAGTTTATCGCTGGGGGTGAGCCACGGCTCACTTCTTCGGATACAGCGAGAATGTGAGTCCATCTGTCCTTCTATCTTGATTTCACATGTAATTACTCCACTCTCCACGATATAAAGACAGATGGACTCACATTCTGGCCAATGTTCCCTCTTAAGCTGTGGAGCCCTGTGAGCAAAAATCCTACTTTGTGAGCTACTGGCATGAAAGTTGTGAGCCAGCGATTTGGCTCCTGCGTAAATCAGTTTGCTCTGGAGCCCTCCTTCCTGAGCTAAAGCAAAAATGTGAGCCGGAGGCTTAAAAACTGAGCTAGCTCACACTCAGCTTAGAGGGAACACTGATTCGAGCCGTATCTGAAGAAGTGAGCCGTGTCTCACGAAAGCTCCCCAGCCACAAATTTTGTCAGTCTTGAAGGTGCTGTTGGACTCTTGCTCTTTTCTGCCGCTGCAGACAGTCTGACACAGTGACCAGTGTTCCCTCTAAGCTGAGTGAGTGTGAGCTAGCTCACATCCTTTTAGCCTCCGGCTCACAGATTTTTGTCTTGGCTCAGGAAGGAGGGCTCCAGAGCAAACTAATGTACACAGCAGCCAAACTGCTCGCTCACAAAGTAGAATTTTTGCTCACAAGACTCCAACAATGAACTGGGATTTTTGACACACACCCCCCCCACAACATACACCCTAGGTTACACTGTAAATCTTAGCCCAAGGGCAAAGAAAGCAAGCAGAACCCTACCAACTTAAGGTTGAGCCAGCATGCAGATTAAGGGGAAAGCTAGCGGCTTCTCCAGTTAAACGGAGGGTTTTCCATGTCCTTGCTAACACTGGTCTCAATCAATGTTCCCTCTAAGCTGAGTTAGTGTGAGCTAGCTCACAGTTTTTTAGCCTCCGGCTCACACATTTTTGTCTCAGCTCAGGAAGGGCAGCTCCAGAGCAAACTAATTTATGTAGTAGCCAAATTACTTGCTCGCAACTTTAATGCCGGTAGCTCACAAAGTAGAATTTTTGCTCACAAGACTCCAAGGCTTAGAGGGAACGCTGGTCTCAATTATTTTATGTTTTGAGACTGTAACCGCCCAGTGTCCCATTACAGGAGACAGCGCAAGGCTGAAATAAGGGCTATTGAAAGATCTGAGGGAACAGCGACCACGGCAGACAACAACTTGGGATCTTTCTCGAAACAGCTAACCTATAACTGTTCCTTGTATAAACTGCAGAAAGCAAGCAAAATTTGCTTTTTCTATGGCGTCAGTTGCAGCATAACGGTGGAAACATTACAGGCGTTACCTCAGGATAGTCATTCCGTCTCACAGCATTGTGGAGAAGAGATTGGATTTGTACCCCGCCCTTCACTCAGAGCAACTTGTAAACTCCTTTCCCTTCCCCTCCCCAGAACAGACACCCTGTGAGGTAGGTGAGGCTGAGAGAGCTCTGAGAGAACTGTCCTCGAGAGAACAGCTCTGACAGAACTACGGCTTGCCCAAGGTCATCCAGCAGCTGCAAGTGGAGGAGCGGGGAATCAAACCCGCTTCTCCCAGATTAGAGCCCACACACTTAACCACGACACCAAACTGGTGAACTAGGATGAACGATGTTGGCTAGCCTCGTTCCTGAAAGCCGCTGTCTCTATTTGAACCCCTCGTTTTGGGACCCTCAAAGATTTATCCGTCACTCCCTGTGGTGAAAAGACAGGATAGCCCTGAAATCTAAATCCTACTAGAAATGCTAAAGGTTAAGCAACTTGTTAGGCTGAGGTTACACTACCACCAAAACTGCCAAAGAATGCTTGGTAAATTGCCAGCTAGGCAAATGGTTGCCGCCAAATGTTGAAAGTCTCAGTTCTGTACTAGTCTCAATTTTTAGAAATTTTAACTCACCCCATCTGGTACTTTTAAAACAAAAACAAAACTTGTACAACTGCACAGTGTGTAAGGAAGGCATGGCCATCTCACAACTGCCTAGTCTGATGTGCACGGATATCAGTTCGCACATACCCACTACTCTAGGCTAACACGCCCTACATTTTACTAATATTAAATCTCAAGCATTCTACTAATATTAAATCCCCTCTTTTAGCCCATGAGAAGAAGAGATTGGATTTATACGCCCTTCGCTCGGAGTCTCAGAGCGGCTTACAAACTCCTTTCCCTTCCCCTCCCCACCACAGACACCCTGTGAGGTCAGTGGGGCTGAGAGAGCTCTTTCGAGGACTGATCCTGAGAGAACAGCTACGAGAGAACTTGTGATTGACCCAAGGTCATCCAGCTGGCTGCATGTGGAGGAGGAGTGTGGAATCAAACCCGGTTCTCCCAGATTAGAGTCCGCGCACTTAACCACGACACCAAACTGAGGGGTATTCTCTTTGAACTGTACCTTGAAAAACCAGCAGCAATACCCTTGACCACCTTTTTAAAAAAAGCGTTTGGAATAATTTGGCAAAAAGCACACAGTGATTATCTTGCACACATACACATACCGTGAACTATACCCACAGGATGCACTACAAACAAAGCAAGCTTGGCTTTTGTCCCTTTGTTCTTTCCTCGCTTCGTATCATCAGGAAACGGGATTCAGAAAGGCAGACAACACACCTACACCAACCAACCCCCCCACCCCCCGCAGTCAGTACAAAACGTTTTTAATGGCAAACTGCAAAGAACACGTCAAAAGTACACGTGCTGGAAAATCTAAAGACTTTTCCTTAGAAGTCGCTGTCGGTCACATGAGGTAGCCATTGTTAACACATCGCTATGTTGTCAGTCTTTAAAAAAAACCCAGGAACAATGTAGATCCGTCGACACGGGAGTTTTCTGGGTCTCAGGAACCTTTGGTGCACGGCCGAAGACGTCCGCTTTCCCTTCATTCTGGTTCCTTCTTGGGGACAGAGAAGTTCTGCAGCACTGGTTGTTGTTTCAGTTCCAACCCCACCTTTGCATTTAAAACACTGATAAGCTCAGGAGTGGATTACGGAACTGGAGGGTGCAAATGTGGTGGTGGTGGTGGTGGGGTCCTTCGCCCCGCTTTGTGCTTTTAAAAAAGCCGGGCCAGAGCCGAGTCCCTGAGAGGAAATCCTTCTTGGAAGGAAAACTGCTCACGGTGGGAGCAGCTGCCTTCCCAAAGCGGCTGGGGAATGCGCAGGCCCGCCGAGCTACAGTTCAGCATCCCTGAGGGGAAGGAGAGAAGAAGTATACGGCCAGGAGGATGAAGTAGACCATCACCAGCACCGTCCCTGCGAGGAGAGAACAGAAAACACGCGGGCGTTAGGAGTTCCGTTGATCCGAGCCTCGCTCGCTTACAGCGGGAAGCGGGGCTGATGGAATACAGCAAATGGTGGAGCGCAGCGGTGAAGAAGGCCAGAACCTGCAACCCAGGTGGGCACAGAGTTGTCAACCTCTAGAGGGAGGAGGAGGAAATCCAACAACAACATCCGTGACAAAAATAACAAAGAGTCAATGAAGATATGTTGCAAAATCATTTACTGTAGTGATTCTGTAGAAAATTCTGTTCTATTATCGCTCACACGCTAACGAATGCTGCGCAATGTAAACAATTTGTTTCACAATATTGGCTTTATCTGAGCGTCTAGCAATCACAGTTCTTATCAATTACTACTTATCAACTCTCGAAGGAAACTTTCCATGTTGACTCTCTAATAACCGAGCTCAAGGTCTTCACAATGGGTTCTGTTATTAGAGGAATGTTTCCTTCAAGAGTTGATAAGTAGTAATTGATAACAATTGTGATGGCTACACGCTCAGATGAAGCAAATATTGTGTAACGAATTGTTTACATTGCGCAGCATTCATTAGCGTGTGAGCGATAATAGAAGAGAATTTTCTACCGAATTACTACACTAAATGATTTTGCAACATCTTCATTGACTCTTTGTTATTTTTGTCACGGATGTTGTTGTTGGATTTCCACTTCCTCCCATGATCTCTCATTTTTGGCTTCAACCTCTAGATGGAGCCTGGATTCCTCCTGGAATTATAGCTTATTTCCTGACTACAGAGAGCAGTTCCCCGGGGGAAAAAGCAACTTTGGAGGGCAAGATGCAGCATACCATAGAGCATATGAGAAACTGAAGTCCTAGAGTGGCATCACATCCCCACTGAACTTCCTCCTTGCCCCTAACAGTCTTCTCCAGACAGAGCCCCAAACCTCCAGAAATTTCCCAAATCAGAGTTGGCAACCCAAGGCAGACACCAGCTCACACTTCCCCTTGGCCATAAACACATAAGAACCTAAGAAGAGCCCTGCTGGATCGGGCCAGTGGTCCATTTGATCCAGCATCCTATCTCACACAGTGGCTCTGTTATTAGAGTGTTTCCTTCAAGAGTTGATAAGTAGTAATTGATAAGAATTGTGATGGCTACACACTCAGATAAAGCAAATATTGTGAAACGCATTGTTTACACTGTGCAGCATTCGTTAGCGTGTGCTGGAGAGCCAACAACAGAGCATGCAAAAGAGCAAGGGTCCAGGAGCACCTTAAAGACTAACAAAATGTGTGGCAAAGCAGGAGCTTTGCTGAGTCACTGCTCATATCTTCAGATAACTGAAGAAGTGAGCTGTGACTCACCAAAGCTCCTCCCCTGCCACATATTTTGTCAGTCTTTAAGGTGCTACTGGACTCTTGCTCTTTTCTACTGCTATAGACAGACCAACATGGCTACCCATCATAATCTATCAATAGGGCACGGAGGCTGAGGCCTTCCCCTGATATTGACTCCTAGCACTGGGATTCTGAGGTTGACTGCCTCTCAATGTGGATGTGGAGGTTCCTTTAAGTCACCACGGCTACCAGATGCTTCTCAATCTCTCCCCCTCTCCTGGTAACTTTATGTATGAATATATCTGCGATGGATGAACACGTCACGCATCTGACGAAGTGAGCTCCAACTCTGAAAAGCTTACTCTGGACTAGAGATGTAAAACTTTGGGAAATTTTGAAGCTCGGAAAAAAACCCGGGTTTTTTCGGGGGGAAACGGACATTTTTGGAAAAATTGAAAAAAATGCTACATTCGCAATTCTTTTTTCTTTTCCAGATTGAAAGTCATTCTGTTACTTTAGGAACATAAAATAGGACTATGGACATTTTTACTTGGCATGAAATTATCACAACTAGCATATTAAAAATATAGTGTATCCAAACAATTATTACAAACACCCACCCACATGAAAAAACAAAACTGAAACCTTTTTCTTTTCTTGTGACAACAGCACCTCCTAAAGGAAGAAATGCATCTTGTTCTTGCATTGGAGAGTTCAGTTTGTAACCTAGGACTTGCTTGTCCTCAGTGCACAGAAATTAGATCAATCTGATACCATACGTATTTTTTAGAAATGAAAATATTTGAACACCTTGCCTTAAAATATTTTAGTCATCCTGTTAAAATAAAATGTTCCATAATCTTCTTTTTTCAATTTTTCCAATTTTTCAAAAAAACAAAACACAAAAAAGGCGTCAGTAAAAAAAACGGGGGGAAAAGTTTTCCCCCAAAATTTTTCCGTTCCCCCCCCCCCCGGGTCTTCACATCTCTACTCTGGACCAATGCTCCCTCTAAGCTGTGGAGCCTTGTGAGCAAAAATCCTTCTTTGTGAGCGACTGGCACTAAAGCTGTGAGTGAGCCATTTGGCTGCTGCATCAATTAGGTTGCTCTGGAGCTCTCCTTTCCGAGCCAAGCCAAAAACGTGTGAGCCGGAGGCTAAAAAACGGTGAGCCGCCTCACGCTAGCCAGCGAGGCACCAAACTATGCTCTGTGTGCTAGTAAGTCTCCGCCTGCGCCCGGCCGCTGAAATTTTGCGGCGTATTGCCAACATGGATTTTCTCCCCCCAAGCTTTTCTTTGCAGGATTAGAATCTTGATCAGCTAACCCCCACCCCACCCCACCCCATTTCTTCAAAAGGCAGATTACAAGTGCAATAAATACAGTTGCATGCCGGGCCTGTAAGTAAGGTTGCCAATCCTTCAGGTGGCCCCTGGAGATCTCCCAGTGTTACAGCTGATCTCTAGATGACCAGGAGAAAATGGCTGCTTTGGAGGGTGGAGTCTGTGGCATTGTGCCCTGCTGAGGTTCCGCCTGGCCCCAAACCCCGCCCTCCCCAGGCTCCGCCTCCAAAACCTTGATATTATTTCCCAACTATCTGTAAGATTATGAAAGCAAAATCAACTCCCCCCCACCCATCTGTTGCCCCTTGGAGAAGACCTCCCCGGTCTGGGTACCCCAGAAGCCCACATGATTAGACCGCTCTCCAGAAGGCACCGGGTCCATTACCTTGGAAGTAGTCACATTTGCCATCCATAAAGATGTAGTTCATCAGGACTACGCTGAACATGCTGGCGTAGACGTGGAGGTCGCTGAAGACCAGCACGAAATCCGTCGGCTGTCAATGAGGAAATGAGAATTTATTTATTTATTATTTATTTATACTTTCAATTTCTATACCGCTCAATCCTGGAGGCTCTGAGCGGTTTACAAGCATTTTACATTTCCTAACTAGGGCCACATACAATGGAAAAAGTAAACGAACGTTAATTGAAGACAAGTTATAAGAAAGGCTGTATGTCCTGATAAACTGGAGAGAAACAGAGATAATATATGACCTTGAGTTAAAGTGTTACAAAGTTACCTGAAAGATCCCTGTCAGTAAGGGAGCATACTGTGTGTGATACACCAAGCAATGGTTCATTAATTATTAGATTTATAAACCCGCCCTCCCCGCCAAACTAGACTAAAAAACGCCAGACTAGAAGCTGGGGAAACCCGAGTTTGAATCCCCGTCTGGCCATCAGTGTTCCCTCTAAGCTGAGTCGGTGTGAGCTAGCTCACAGTTTTTTTAGCCTTCGGCTCACAGATTTTTGTCTTAGCTCGGAAAGGACGGCTCCGCAGCAAGCTAATCTATGCAGCAGCCAAACAGCTCGCTCACAACTTTCATGCCAGGAGCTCACAAAGTAGAATTTTTGCTCACATGACTCCACACCTTAGAGGGAGCATTGCTGGCCATGGAACATCAGCCTGCCACAAACTTTTGATTGCCCAGGTTCAGCACAGACAAAAGGAAATCCTGCCTTACACAGAGAGAGATTAAAATGTGGAATTCGCAGCCAGAAGATGTTGTGGCTGCCACAGGAATAGACAGCTTTCAATGGGGGTAAGTCTATCGATGGCTACTAGCCATGGTGACTGAGGGGAGCCTCCATATTCAGAAGTACTAAACCTCTGAATCCCAGAGCCAGGAGGCAACATCAGGGGAAGACCTTGGCCTCTGCGCCCTCTTGTTGGCCCTCCAGAGGAACTGGCTGGCCACTGTGTGAGACAGGAGGCTGGACTTAATGGACCATTGGCAGCAGAGCTCTTCTGATGTTCCTATGAAGGCCTCAGCCTCTATGCCCTGTTTGTTGGCCCTCCAGAGGAACTGGCTGGCCTCTGTGTGAGACAGGAGGCTGGACTTAATGGACCATTGGCAGCAGAGCTCTTCTGATGTTCCTATGAAGGCCTCAGCCTCTATGCCCTGTTTGTTGGCCCTCCAGAGGAACTGGCTGGCCTCTGTGTGAGACAGGAGGCTGGACTTAATGGACCATTGGCAGCAGAGCTCTTCTGATGTTCCTATGAAGGCCTCAGCCTCTATGCCCTGTTTGTTGGCCCTCCAGAGGAACTGGCTGGCCTCTGTGTGAGACAGGAGGCTGGACTTAATGGACCATTGGCAGCAGAGCTCTTCTGATGTTCCTATGAAGGCCTCAGCCTCTATGCCCTGTTTGTTGGCCCTCCAGAGGAACTGGCTGGCCTCTGTGTGAGACAGGAGGCTGGACTTAATGGACCATTGGCAGCAGAGCTCTTCTGATGTTCCTATGAAGGCCTCAGCCTCTATGCCCTGTTTGTTGGCCCTCCAGAGGAACTGGCTGGCCTCTGTGTGAGACAGGAGGCTGGACTTAATGGACCATTGGCAGCAGAGCTCTTCTGATGTTCCTATGAAGGCCTCAGCCTCTATGCCCTGTTTGTTGGCCCTCCAGAGGAACTGGCTGGCCTCTGTGTGAGACAGGAGGCTGGACTAGGGGGACTGCTGGTCTAATCCAGCAGGGCTCTTCTGAGGTTCTTAACATAGCAAAGGAAGCCAGTGAAGATCAGGGAGGGAGGGGAAAAGGAAGGGATTGATCCTTTGCAGAGCTGGGGAGGGATTCTTTTCTGGTCCAAATACCACTACTTACATAGAAGACTGTGAAAAGAACCAAGATGGGTATCTGCAACATGCACACCTGGACAGCAATGCAACTCCCGATTTCAATGCTGGAACAGAAAAAGGGATATTTAGAGAACAAAAAGCCATTTGCTAGAATCACTGGGTACTTTGCAGTCCACATTTTTTAAAAATACACAAGAACAGCCGTTAAGTGTACCAGGCAAATTCTAAACAGCTGGCGGTACGGCCTTAGTGGCCAAGGGAAAGCCCCCAGTTCAAATCTCACACCTCCCACAAACTCTGCCGGGGGTCTATGAGAAGTCACACGCAGCCGGAACGCCACCCCTCTTGTCTGCAACGTGGCAATACTCCTGACTTCTTACAGGGTGTTGCAATAATCTTGCTCTAATCTTTCCTGGGGATGGGCACGAACTGGGGAAATGGAGGTTCGTCCCGGTTCGTGGTTTCCGTGACGTCTCACAAACCACGAACTGTTTCGGCCCTCCCCCGGTTCCTGAACCGGTTCAGGTTCCTGCAGTTCGTAAAACCGATTTAAATGGAATGTTCCCTTTAAATGGGTTTTGACAGCAGGGCCCCAGAGGAGTGAAATCCAAGTGGCAAATTCACCACTTCCGGGTGAATTCGCCTCATGGACTTCAACCCAAGTGCCCACTGTCAAAATTGTCAAAACCCATTTAAAGTGGAAGCGGCGAATTCACTGTTTGGGGGGGGGGGGAGCAAAAGTCACCGCTGAACTGGCTTGCGTCTAATGACAGTATGAAAAGATATTATGGGAAACGTGTTTGGGGTAAGCTAGCATTCACGTCAGAAAAAGGAGGACGACCTGTATGGTGAAAGAATAATCTGTGTGGACTAAATTTGAACACCTAAAGGAGTTCTTCTTCATAGTGTGACTTGGAACTACTATACTCACAGTTCTGTGCATCCCTTGAAGATATTTTGTGTATTTATCTGTATGGTACAGTCTTCGTGTGCATGCAGTATTGCAGTGTGAGAAAAGGTAAAGGTTCCCTTGCTCGAAAGCCAGTCGAATCCGACTCTAGGGTTGCGGTGCTCATCTCCGTTTCCAAGCCGAAGAGCCAGCGCTGTCCGAAGACGTTTCCGTGGTCATGTGGCCGGCATGACTAAACACCAAGGCGCACGGAACACTGTTACCTTCCCACTGAAGTGGTACCTATTTATCTACTTCCAATTTCTTGCTTTCGAACTGCTAGGTTGGCAGGAGCAGTGTGAGAAACTTTGCTACTATTTCAGTTATTTCTGCATCTGGATTATCGAGCAAGAAAAGGAGCTTAAAATCATCAGGGGGTCTCTAAAAATTGGCCTAACATGGGATATAGAAGATCCCGACGGGACGCCAAATAGAGAGGGCACTGGAGGAGGACACGGGCGACAGTTTCAACACAGTCCTTCATACAAGGAGAGCCCCTGCTAGGATAGGGAACCCTTGGGATCTGCCAGATAAGATAGCTGAAGGAAGAACATTAAATCTAGCCAAGGAGATGGCTCTACGCAAATCTGGAGCTATGAGTTGATAGAGGTATACTGCTGGGAGATTTGCATTAGGAACAATCCCCAGATTTAAGGGAGAACAGGTTCTATTAAAAAGGTAAAGGTAAAGGTTCCCTTGCTTGAAAGCCAGTCGAGTCCGACTCTAGGGTTGCGGTGCTCATCTCCGTTTCAAAGCCGAAGAGCCAGCGCTGTCCGAAGATGTTTCCGTGGTCATGTGGCCGGCATGACTAAGCACCAAGGCGCATGGAACGCTGTTCCCTTCCCACCGAAGCGGTACCTATTTATCTACTTGCAATTTCTTGCTTTAGAACTGCTAGGTTGGCAGGAGCTGGGACTCGAGACGGGAGCTCACTCCGTCATGCGGCACCCAGGTCTCGAACTGCTGAACTACTGACCTTCCACAGCCTGCAGTTCAGCGTCTTAACCACTTGAGCCACCACAGCTCCCAGGTTCTATTATTTATTATTTATTAGCCAGACTATAAAGGGTTTGTAGCTCTGATCCCAATAAACTAGATTTTATTTTTTAAAAGGCCTCAGACTCAGAAAGCATAAATAAGGATCCTAGGGAAAAATTCAGGGAACCTATTTTGGCTTCGATGTAAGATAGCCATCTGGAATTAACAGATTGAGAAAGTAGTTGGTACCTACAACTGAAGGGGTCAGAGTTGAAATGGAGTCGTAACCAAAATTTAATCGTGTGGATCCATGCCTTAGTAGCCGGCAAATTCTGACCGCACTCCAAACATAAAGCAGCACACAGGACACATCAGTATTGCAGTGTGCATCAATTTGCTTATTATAATAATAAGAGTATTTGAATTGTATGTGCAGCGTTGGTGCACAGTTCTTATTTTTACTGATTAGATCTAGCAGAGGCAAGCCAGTTCAGCAATGCCTTTCGCTCCCCTCTGCGGAAGCTGCCGCAGCTCTTGCAAGCAATGCCCCCTCTAAGCTGTGGAGTCTTGTGAGCAAGAATTCTACTTTGTGAGCTACTGGCATTAAAGTTGTGAGCGAGCGATTTGGCTACTGCATAAATTAGTTTGCTCTGGAGCCCTCCTTCCTGAGCGAAGACAAAAATGTGTGAGCCAGAGGCTAAAAGACTGTGAGCTCGCTCACACTAACTCAGCTTAGAGGGGACACTGGCTTGCAAGTGAGCTCAGAAGGCATTTAAGTGCCTCACGACAGCTCACTCGCGTTGTGCCTGACTCGCACCAAGCCAACGAAGACCGTGCCGCCACGAACCCTCAGTCCGCTGCATCGCCACGAACCCTCTCACGAACCGAACAAACCACCGCAAAAACCACGGCAGTTCGTGGAAAGCACAATTGCACGAATTGCTGTTCACGAATTATTATATATATATATACAACAGACATCAAACAAAAACAAACAAATAACAAACGGATTCATATACAAATAAATCTGATCTCTTCTCAGAGCCTAGCTGTTATTCATCACGGAAGTACAACATTTTTGGGGCAGGAACGCACAGGAACAGAGTTCCGGCTGGCTCCTGAGTTGGCTACGCCCAGCAGGAGCTCATTAGCATAACAGGCCACACCCAACAGCAGAAACTCATTAGCATTGGCTACATTAGGGGTGTGTGGCCTAACATGCAAAGGAGTCCCTGCTACAAAAAAAGCCCTGGTTTGGACAACAAACAAGGTAAACGGAATAAGAAGCAAAAGGTGAGTGTGGCTGGATGAGCACACTTCTGGTCACATGCGGGTGCGGCCTAATGTGCTAATGACATGTGCTGTCGGGGGTGTGGCCTAATATGCTAATGAGTTCCTGCTGTTGGTATGGCGTATTATGCTAATGAGTTCCTGCTGGGCTTTTCCTACAAAAAAAGCCCCGGTTTATATACTTCACTGTACATTTTTGACATTTAGACCACTCAGTATCAAAAACATAATCTGCTTTTCCCATGGAGCCTCGTTGTCAAGTTATCTAATTTGGCTATTTCTGCGCTTCTCTTCTGTGACCCCTGGTTTCAAAGTGGATCTTTCTCCCGCTCTCCTCAGTCCTTACAGAGGAGGGCCGGTTAGAACGCTGGAAACAAGCCGTGTGTTACACAATCCTGGCAGGGAAGCGTCGGATGGACCCACCTCAAGCTGATATTGTTCTGCAAGGCAAACTGGATCCCGTTGACGATCTCCGGGATCTCCGGCACCATGGCGAGCACCGTCACCCCAATGAAATACTGAGGAGAGAGGAGACAGGAGGGCTGAGGCCAGGCCGGCCGCCGCTCTCGGAGAGCTCCCCCCACGGCCAGCCCAGCCCAGCCCAGCCCAAGACTTGCCCGTCCCCTCTGCTGGGGGGGCAGTACGATCATTCCTAGAGCAGTGTTCCCTCTCAGCTGAGCGAGCTCACCGTTCTTTAGCCTACGGCTCACACATTCTTGCCTTCGCTCAGGAAGGAGGGCTCCTAGGCTTGCCAAGTCCCCCCGGGGGGCGGGGAAAACCCTGTCCCAGAGGCCCGTTCCCCGCCGCTGGTGGATCGGGCCCCGGAGGGAACCCCACCCCGACGTACACGTCACCCGGAAGTGACGCGACCACGCCGGGCACGCTGGGAGCGAGGCCACGGTCATCCGAGGGAAAACTCTATGGTTTTCCCTCGGATGGTCGTGGCCCCGCCCCCAGCGTGCCCGGCGTGGTCGCGTCACTTCCGGGTGACGTGGATGCGGCGCGCGCGGACTCCAGCCGCCAGCCGGGAGTCCCCCGCTGCAGCGAAAATCAGACTTGGCAACCCTAAGGGCTCCGGACCAAACTGATTGATGCAGCAGCCAAATCGCTCGTTCACATCTCTAATGCCGGGAGCTCACCAAGTAGGATTTTTGCTCACAAGACTCCACAACTTAGGGGGAGCACTGTACTAGAGTACCTCACACATCTCAGGGTGAGATCTTAATCACTACACGACATGGGTAGTGCTCACGAGGAGCCATCGTATGCTGCACCTAGTCCAGGGGTTCCCCCACACGGGGCCTGTGGATTTCATGGTGTTTTTCTGGCACCCGCCAAGTGGTTTTTAGAAGTGGGCGGGGCCAGACAGGGCTTTTGTCAGGCAGAGCTGTGCAGATTTCTTAAAATGTTGCTTTGGCGGCAGCCACCACAGCACAAGGATCTTCACTGTGTGACTGAAGGCAAGCCGCGGCAGCCATTTTGCGGCTGGCTTCACCTCCGGCGGCAGCCATTTTGCGGCTGGCTTCACCCTTCGCGGCAGCCATTTTGTGGCTGACTTCACCTCCGGCGGAAGCCATTTTGCGGCTGGCTTCACCCCTGGTGGCAGCCATTTTGCGGCTGGCTTCACCCCCGGCGGCAGCCATTTTGCGGCTGGCTTCACCCCCGGCGGCAGCCATTTTGCGGCTGGCGTTCCCCCATTGAAGGTCACCGGCGGCAGCCATTTTGCGGCTGGCTTCACCCCCGGTGGCAGCCATTTTGCGGCTGGCTTCACCCCTGGCGGCAGTCATTTTGCGGCTGGCTTCACCTCTGGCGGCAGCCATTTTGCGGCTGCTCCCACCACGCGATGTCAGAATTCCAAAGGTAACCACAGGCTCCAAAAGGTTGCGGAACCCTGCTCTAGCCTGACTCGGGGTCGTTTCCCGAGGCACCCCAGCTCTGCAGGCTGAAGCTCTTCAGCAGAAGTGCTGGAGGACTTCTGACCCTCTGCCAAGAAAGATCACACTCTGCTAGAGAGCCGGACCCCTCGCTGCCAGGCAGAAATAGCCGGTTCATGCAGAGGTAGGGTTGCCAAGTCCTTTCTAGCAACTGGGAAGTGATTGGGGGGGGGGACTTGCCAGGAGTCGGGAGGGAGTCCCCGCTGATGTTGCAGTGATTTGTCTATGGCACTTCCGACGTGACCCGGATGTGACGTCACCATGCTGCGATGTCCCTGCAATGCTGTTATTTGGGCAAAAACTCTAGGCTGGTGTCGTGGTTAGGAGTGTGGACTCTAATCTGGGACGACCGGGTGTGATTCCCCGCGTCTCCACATGCAGATGCTGGTGTGACCTTGGGTCAGTCACAAGTTCTCTCAGAGCTGTTCTCTCAAGGGCAGTCCTTGAGAGAGCTCTCTCAGCCTCGCCTACCTCACAGGCAGTGTTCCCTCTAAGCTGAGTTGGTGTGAGCTACCTCACAGTTTTTTAGCCTCCGGCTCACACCTGTGTTAGCTCGGGAAGGAGGGCTCCAGAGCAAACTGATTTATGCAATAGCCAAATTGCTCGCTCACAACTTTAATGCCGGTAGCTCACAAAGCAGAATTTTTGCTCACAAGACTCTTAGAGGGAACACTGCTCACAGGGTGTCTGTTGTAGGAAAGGGAAGGGAAAGGAGATGGTGAACCACTCTGAGACTGCCTCGGGTAGTGAACAGTGGAGTATAAATCCAATCTCTTCTTCTATGGAGAGCCAGTTTGGTGTAGCGGTTAAGTGCGCGGACTCTAATCTGGGAGAACCGGGTTGGATTCCCCACTCCTCCACCTGCACCTGCTGGATGACCTTGGGCAAGCCATAGTTCTGTCAGAGCTGTTCTCTCAAGGACAGTTCTCTCAGGGCTCTCTCAGCCCCGCCAACCTCACAGGGTGTCTGTTGTGGGGAGGGGAAGGGAAAGGAGTCTGTAAGCCGCTCTGAGACTCCAAGTAAAGTGCCGGGTATACATCCAATCTCCTCCTCCTCCTCCTCAATTTGGCTTCTACCACAAGAGTTTTTGCCCAAATACTACGATGTCGTCCAGAAACGGCTAATGTGATGATGTCATTTCCGGGTCACATGGGAAGTGACAGACGCGTCACTGCAACGTCAACAGGGGCTTGCTCTTTTTCCGGGTAAGAGCACCCCCCCTGGCCAGCTGATTGGTGGTGGCGCAGTGGGGCGTGGCAGCAGGAGACCCCCACCTCCACTGGGGTGGGGGTGTCTGGCAACCCTACGTGGAGAACAGCACCATTCTTTCCCCTGCTTTGGCAGGCATCATTCCTGCCCCTCACCTAACCCCGCAGTCTGCTTACCTGCGACACCGTCGAGCTGCTTAGGATGGGGCTGATGTGCTCCGTAGCCAGGTCAGCGCAGGCCGACATACACACCGTGGACACCAGGAGGATGACCAGGGCCCTGAGGCGGGACCAGTGGACCACGGGGTGGTGGCGGCGGCCGGGCACTAGGGGGGGACGAAGGAGAAGAGGAAGATGAGATGGGATTTATACCCCGCCCTTCGCTCGGAGTCTTTTTAGAGTGGCTTACAAACTTATGAGCGCAGACTCTAATCTGGGAGAACCGGGTGCGATTCCCCACTCCTCCACATGCATCTGCCGGTGGGACCTTGGGCCAGTCACAAGTTCTCTCAGAGCTGTTCTCTCAAGAGCAGTCCTCAAAAGAGCTCTCACAGCCCCACCTACATCACAGGGTGGAGGTAGAGCAGAGAGGTGGCATTTGCGGGCGAGAAGAGCCCAAAGAACGCTGGGCCCCCAACTCAGCCCATCTCCAACCTCCAGGTGGTGAATGTATCAAAAACAAGACAGGCTTCAGTATGACCTTGGGCCAGTCACAAGTTCTTTCAGAGCTCTCCCAGCCCCACTTACCTCACAGGGTGTCTACTTGTGGGGAGGGGAAGGGGACTGTAAGCCGCTCTGAGACCCCTTCGGGTAGTGAAGGGTGGGCTATAAATCCAATCTCTTCTTCCTGACAGCCCCCCCCAAGCAGCGTTCCCTCTAAGCTGAGTCAGCGTGAGCCAGCTCACAGTTCTTTAGCCTCCAGCTCACACGTTTTTGTCTTAGCTCAGGAAGAGGAGGGCTCCAGAGCAAACTAATTGATGCAGCAGCCAAATCGCTCACTCACAACTTTAATGCCCAGGAGCTCACCAAGTAGAATTTCTGCTCACAAGACTCCACAGTGTTGGGTGTTACAAATCAAAACACTTCAGTATTTACAGGGTTAATGATGTTTGTTATAATCAACAGGAAGTCACGTGTTTGTTTGTAACCAATCTGTTTAGACAATAGAATGCCCAGGAACTTTGGAGCTAACTTGCTAGTCTGATTGGAAACCAATGTTTCAAGTATTTATCATATTGGCTTCTCCTCCCCGTTCTTTGTTCTGACTGAGAAGGAGACGCCATACTCTTCCTGTTTTACCTTTTAGCTGTAAGGATGTAGCCATATTAGCTCTTTGTTATTTTCATATCCTGTGTACCTTTTTCCCATGTTAGGTTTATAGTAAACTTTTATATCTTAAAACACACCATGGACTCAGTCTCTTAATACTCTGCTGACTTACTCGAAAAGAATCCCAACACACAGCTTAGAGGGAGCGTTGCCCCCCAAGTCAACCTGATCCCCCAAGTCTAACCCCTCCCCAGCCTGCCCAAGGACTTACTGTGGCAGTCACTGATGTGGATGTCATAGATGTGGGAGTGAGTTTTCAGGGTGAAGACAAGCCCAATGATATACGCCACAGGGAGCAGGATCGACACGGTGTACACCAGGGGCCTGCCATGCACAAAATACAAATTGCAACCTGCACATCCCCCGCTGTGAGAGACACTCTGCCCCTCCAGTCCAGCATCCGACTCCCAACAGAGGTCAGTCAGGTGCCAGAGGAAAGCCCACAAACAGAACCTGTAGATAATGGCTGTCCCATCTCGACCGCTCCCCCGGCATCTGCCAATCAGATGGATTTCTGCCTCTGAACCCGGAGGCCCCTTCAGCTATCGTGGCTAACAGCCAGCAATAGGTCTCTCCTCCTCAACTCTCTCCAAGGTAAAGGAAAAGGTTTCCCTTGTTCGAAAGCCAGTCGAATCCCACTCTAGGGGGTGTTGCTCATCTCTGTTTCCAACCCGAAGAGCCAGCGCTGTCCGAAGACTTCTCCATAGTCATGTGGCCGGCATGACTAAATGCCAAGCCACACAGAACGCTGTTATCTTCCCACTGGAGCAGTACCTATTTAACTACTTGCAATTTCTCGCTTTCGAACTGCTGGGTTGGCAGGAGCTGGGGCCAGAGACGGGCGCTCACTTTGTCATGCGGCACTCGGGTCTCGAACTGCCGAGCTACAGACCTTCCGGTCTGCAGCTCAGCGTCTTAACCTCTGAGCCACCGCTTTTAAATCCATCGAAGCCGGTAGCCAGTACAGCAGTCTAATCTGGCCACCACCTTGGGGCAGTGAGTTCCACAAGTCGAAACATTAGCTCCAGGGCTTTTTTTCCCTGGAAAAATATGTGCCAGAACTCCAACAGGGAAATGGAAGTTTTCAAATCTGTATACTGAAAGACTCGTGAACTTTTAAACACTTTTAAAAGAATGTTGTCGAAGAGGTTCCAGAATTCCAGTCCCGTGTGTTCCCCCGGGGGAAAAAGCCCTGGCTGTGTGAAAGGGTGGTGGCTAGTGCCACTGAGACGCAGCCAGCTTCTGGCAACCCCACAAGGTTTTCGAGGCAAGAGGCAAACAAGAGGTGGCTTTGCCCTGGCCTGCCTCTGCACAGCAACCCTGGACCTCCTTGGTGGTCTCCCAGCCGAGTACTAACCAGGGCTGAACCTCCTTAGCTCCCAAGCTCTGATGAAATCAGGCTAGCCTGTGCCATCCGGGTCAAGGCAAGAGACAAGCAGAGGTGGATTGCCTTTGCCTGCCTCTGCACAGCAACCTGGGAACTTCCGTGGTGGTCTCCCATCCAAATACTAACCAGGGCTAACCCTCCTTAGCTCCCAAGCTCTGATGATGCTAGCCTGGGCCATCCAGGTCAAGGCAAGAGACAAGCAGAGGCGGGTTTGCCATTGCCTGCCTCTGCGTAGCAACCCTGGACTTCCTTGGTGGTCTCCCATCCAAGGACTAACCAGAGCTAACCCTCCTTAGCTCCCAAGCTCTGATGAAATCAGGCTAGCCTGTGCCATCCGGGTCAAGGCAAGAGACAAGCAGAGGCGGGTTTGCCATCGTCTGCCTCTGCGTAGCAACCTTGAACTTCCTTAGCAGTCTCCCATCCAAGTACTGGCCACGCTCAGCCTCGGTTAGCTTCCAGGAGTGGATGAGATCAGGTTAGCCTGGGTCACCCAAGCCAAGGCAAGAGACGTTCAGAGGCGGGTTCGCCCTTGCCTGCCTCTGCACAGCAACCCTAGACCTGCTTGGTGGTCTCCCATCCAAGTACTAACCAGGGCTAACCCTGCTTAGCTCCCAAGCTCTGATGAGATCAGGCTAGCCTGGGCCATCCGGGTCATGGCAAGAGACAAGCAGAGGCTGGTTGGCCCTTGCCTGCCTCTGCGTAGCAACCCTGAACGTCCTTAATGCTCTCCCATCCAACTACTGACCAGGGCCGACCTCGCTTAGCTCCTGAGCTCTGACGAGACCAGGCTAGCCTTTCCTTTTCGGTCATGAACCAACCGAATTCCCCAGGGACGTCCCCCAGTTCTAGTCTCGAGGGGGGCCCAAAGGGACCTCCTGCCAACCCCGCACTCTGCCGATCTCTGCCTCGCTCCCGGAAGCTTCCCACGATCCCGAAAAATAAAACGGAGAGGGAGAGGAGATACAACGGCAGCACCCACCGACTGGCCCAGAGACATGGGGGGCTGCATCCCCCCAGCATCATCACACACGCACACCACCCCCGGCCCCAAAGCCACAGCCAAGAGGAACTTACTGAACCTGACTGTGGTAGAGAGTACCGTTGTTCTCCATCTGCCAAAAGAAACAAGGTCAGGGTCAGATCCTGCGACAAATCCTGCGCGCCCGGAAATCTGCATTCAACACCGTATATCAGCACCGGGCTGGAGCCAGCGACTCCCTTCCTTCTACCGAGGGCACCTGCTTGTGTCGACAGAGCCCCGGGAAACCTTCCGCTACCATGTGGCTCGAACGCCAAGAACAGGGCACGCAGTTCCGTAAGAGGAAGGGCTGATATCTGCACCGACTGCCGTCAGCGAGAGGTTTGGGGCAGGATTTGAACGCAGAGCGCAGGAACGGCCTCGGAAAGAGAAAAATACCAGGGCGACCCACAGCTTTTGGTTTTTTTCGGTTGGACATGGGAAATCCATCCATCTCAGATCTGAGCACAAGAAGCTGACTGTACTGAACCAGACCGTCGGTCAGTGAAGGTCATTACTCGTAGAAGCTCTCCAGGGTCCCAGGCAAAGGTCTTTCACATCACCTCCTGCCTGACCTCATCCTTTGTAGCTGGAGATGCCGGGGATTGAACTGGGGACATTCTGCATGCCAAGCAGAGGCTCTGCCACTGAGCCACAGCCCCTCTTTACAGCTCTCCAGGGTCTCAGGTAGAGGTCTTTCCCATCACCTCCTGCCTGGTCCTTTCGAACTGGAGCTGCCGGGGACTGAACCTGGGACCTTCTGCATGCCAAGCAGAGGCTCTGCCACTGAGCCACGGCCCCTCCCCGGGAAGCTGCCTTATTCTGAATCAGACCCTTGGTCCATCAAGGTCAGTATTGTCTACTTAGATTGGCAGCTGCTTTCCAGGGTCTCAGGCTGACGTCTTTCCCATCACCTCCTGCCTGGTCCTTTTTAACTGGAGATGCTGGGGATTGAAACTGGGACCTTCTGCATGCCAAGCAGAGGCTCTTCCACTGAGCCACAGCCCCTCTTCACAGCTCTCCAGGGTCTCAGGTGGAGGTCTTTCCCATCACCTCCTGCCTGGTCCTTTTATCTGGAGATGCCGGGGATTGAACCTGGGACCTTCTGCATGCCAAGAAGTGTTCTACCACTGAGCCATGGCCCCTCTTTACAGCTCTCCAGGGTCTCAGGCTGAAGATGCCAGAGATGGAACCTGGGACCTTCTGCATGCCAAGCAGAGGTTCTTCCACTGAGCCACAGTCCCTCTTTACAGCTCTCCAGGGTCTCAGACTGAGGTCTTTCCCATCACCTCCTGCCTGGTCCTTTTAACTGGAGATGCCGGGGATTGAACCTGGGACCTTCTGCATGCCAAGCAGAGGCTCCACCACTGAGCCACGGCACCTCTGGTTGCTGAAGGGGCCCAATCCTGCTCCTGGGTCACAAAAAGGGTTAGCAAGACCTGGTGAATGGGGCCAGCCATGGCGGGTGGAGTGTGCCATTAACTTGGTTCTGCCAGGACGGCGCCATGCACCACGGATGCTACCAGTGTTCCCTCTAAGCTGAGTGACTGTGAGCTAGCTCACAGTTTTTTTAGCGTCCGGCTCACACATTTTTGCCTCAGCTCAGGAAGGGATGGCTCCCGAGCAAACTAATTTATGCAGCGGCCAAATGGCTTGCTCACAACTTCAATGCCAGCAGCTCACACAGTAGACTTTTTGCTCACAAGTCTCCACAGCTCAGAGGAAGCACTGGATGCTACTCCCCTGCCTTCTATCAAACACAGAGCAAGACTCCTTCCAGTAGAGCACGAGAATTGTTGGTGCCAACCCAGTGGGGCGTGCCGCAATGCATTTCTGTTCCAAGTCACGATTTTTAATGCACAGGGTTCTCAATACAGCCAAGGCCAGAGTGCGCCATGTTCACAAACACTGCAGCCGGCAAGGATACTCCCCCCCACACACACACACACGGGCAAGTTTCCGCTCACCAAATCCAAGTGGCAGTTCTGACAGATGTAGTGCCCCACGGGCTCTTGGGTGATGTTCTGGCATTCCCCGCAGACCAGCCGCCCGTACACTTTGGAGAAGAGGGTGGGCGCAAAGACACCTGGCCGAGGAGAGCACAGAAAGGTGAGCGAAGAAGAAGAAGAAGAAGACAAAAAAGAAGATGAAGAAGAGGAGATTGGATTTATACCCTGCTCTTCACTCAGTCTCAGAGCAGCTTACAATCTCCTTTCCCTTCCCCTCCCCGCAACAGACATCCTGTGAGGCATGTGGGGCTGAGACAGCTCTGTCAAGGACTGCTCTTGAGAGAACAGCTGTGAGAGAACTTGGGGCAGCCTAACTCATCTCAAAGGGTTGTTGTGAGGATAAAATAGAGGACAGGAGAACATAAGAACATCACAAGAGCCCCACTGGATCAGACCAATGGTCTGTCTAGTCCAGCATCTTGTCTCATTGGTGGCCAACCAGGTCCTCTGGAGGGCCAACCACAGGGCAGAGAGGCCGAGGCCTTCCCCTGAGAAGAACATCAGAAGAGCCCTGCTGGATCAGACCAGTGAGGGTCCATCTAGTCCAGCATCCTTTCTCGGTCAGTGGCCAGCCAGTCCCTCTGGAGGGCCAACCACAGGGCACAGAGGCCGAGGCCTTCCCCTGAGAAGAACATCAGAAGAGCCCTGCCAGATCAGACCAGTGAGGGTCCCTCTAGTCCAGCCTCCTGTCTCACACAGGGGCCAGCCAGTTCCTGTGGAGGGCCAACAAACAGGGCATAGAGACCAGGAAGAACAATGTAAGCCACTTTTGACTTATATATCAGCTGCTTTGGGTTCCCCATTGGGAAGAAACGGGGGTATAAGTGAGGTAAAATAATAAAAATTGAATTTAAAAATAGTAAAAGCCGCCCAATGCGCTTTGACACATTACAATTAGCAGCAATGCACTGAATGTAGCCACAGGGGAACTTCGCTGGGCCGAGGTTAGTAGCTGTGGAAGTGCATGTGGCGTCCTTCCTATTGAGGGGGCCTGTTTTTCCTTTAAATCATACTCTGTGATGTGTCTGCTTATAGGGAAAACGTTTTTCCCGTTAATTCACACTTTGTATATATAAACTTGGTAGTTACAATCATCTTAGCCCATGGCAGGTTCCACTACACATTACAGCTGTTATGATTATTGAAAATCTTCTTTGATAATTCTGAGACGTCACCAGAGGATATGAACTACTGAGAGACAGTTTTTGTCCCACATCTTTGTTCAGAAGAAGATCTTCCTTCGAAACGGCAAGACATTCTGGAGATCACCGTCAATATATTTTTCTATGATTATGTGTATTATTTTTGTTCACTTTTCTATGATTCTTTAAAGACATATATTAAGCATCACTTTTTCACAGTTTTTCTTGTTCTCCGTAGTTATCTGCTGCCACCAGGAATTAAAAATTCCAAATCTCTTTCCTTTGGTAGTGCGACCCAGGGTCTGGGCACTTCAGAGGACTCTGTGGCCCCCGAGAAAGGACTGTACTGATTCCTGGGATATATTTAAACAAAAATGGATTTACTGAACAAAATAGGTTTCTGGGAAAAGGAACTTGTAAAAGATAACTAGGAAGCTTGGTGTCAACACCAGTCTCTCAGACAGCAAAATTCCACTCTGACAGGATTCTCTCTCTGTCTCATATGTGTAGCTGACTTTTCCACACAAGATAGAACATTGGTCTAGCCACACAGTTTAGACACAGCTTGTTTCTTTTCCACATAGACTCTCTCACAAAACTTTTAGAGTCACAGAGACTCTCCTCAAAGCCCTTCACTCTCCAAAGACACACACACACACACACACACACAGAACTCTGTCATAAAACACACACACACACACAGATTCCTCTCAGAACATCTCCTCCCACACTCTCAGCCATCAGCCAATCACAGCACACGCATCTCCCCCCCCATCGCCCTCCTTGCATTACTGCAGTCAAACGAACATTTAAAGGAACACACACACATCAAAACAAGGAATCATCATCCTCAATAAAACAATCTTTTTAGTTAACAGCAGGGCTCTTTTTGTAGAAAAAGCCCAGCAGGAACTCATTAGCATAATAGGCCACCCCCAACAACAGAAACTCATTAGCATATTAGGCCACACCCCTGATAGCACAGCTCATTGGCATATTAGGCCACACACCACATGTTACCAGAAGTGTGGTCATCCAGCCACACCCACCTTTTGCTTCTTATTCTGTTTACTTTGTTGTCAAAACCCAGGGCTTTTTTTGTAGCAGGAACTCCTTTGCAAGTTAGGCCACACACCCCTAATGTAGCCAATCCTAATGAGTTTCTGCTGTTAGGTGTGGCCTATTATGCTAATGAGTTCCTGCTGGGCGTGGCCAACTCAGGAGCCAGCCGGAACTCCGTTCCTGTGCGTTCCTGCCCAAAAATAGCCCTGGTTAACAGTAAACATGGCTTTCAAGTTGCAAGGTCATACACAATTATATTAGTATGGGATCACACCTTCTCTCAAGTTATAACAACAAAATCACTCAAAACGACTAATTCAGTTTATGTTGTAACATTACCCTATCTCTATTTTTTGATATTTCACATTGTTCATTGTCTAATATATCAATCAATATTTTCTATTGCAAATTTATTTATTCAGAAATTGTAATTACATACGAACGACTCAATTTGAAAAGTAATTCACTCGTGTTGTTATGTTTGTTACAAATCTTATTACTCAATACTCAATTATTACTCAATTACTTATTATTGAGAGCCAGTTAGGTGTAGTGGTTAAGTGCGCGGACTCTAATCTGGGAGAGCCAGGTTTGATTCCCCACTCCTCCACTTGCACCTGGCTGGATGACCTTGGGAAAGCCGTAGTTCTGATAAGAGCTGTTCTTGCAAAAGAGCTGTTTCTGTCAAGAGGTCTCTCAACCCCACCCACCTCACAGGGTGTCTGTTGTGGGGAGGGGAGGGGAAAAGAGTTTGTAAGCTGCTCTGAGACACCTTTGGGTAGTGAAGAGCGGGGTATAAATCCAATCTCCTCTTCTTCTTCAATAAAAAATTTAAATTAAAAACAAACAAACAAGGATTCATTACAGTGCGCACCTAAAGCCGCGTTCGTGGCTATGGCAGAAAGGGAAACTAGTTAGCAAGAAAAGGGGCAGCCATCCCTAGCCCCCCCACACCCCACTTACCTCCCACGGACAGGAAGAGCAGGGCAGAGCTGACCCCGGCCGAGCGGCTGTTGAACCTCTGCTCTTGGTGCCGGGTGCCTCCGATCACCATGCACAGGCCCTGGAAGGCAAGAAAAGGCACAGGGGGTCTTCACCCTGCCCTCGCAGCCCGGAATCAGAGAGGGAAACAGTGCACGGGAAGAGCGAGCAGAAGACGACCTTCAGTTCCGCACACCGCACCGGGTGGGTGTGAGCCCCCGCCTCTTCCTCTGGGCCCCGACACCCCCTGTTCTGCACCCCATCCACTACACCCCACATAGCAAGAACTGTGGGGGGGGGGGAGGTTGGACCGATGGCAGTTCCAAGTTCCACAAGGCAATCCATTTTGTTCTGAAGTCTCATATTCCAGCAACGTCATACAACTGCCATAGACCAGCGGCGACAAAGTTTGGGGGAAAGAAGTAGGAAAAATGTATTGATTGCTGTCCCACCCCTCCCAGTAAAATTAGCACACGCTCACTGAGCAGCAGTGTGTGTGAACAAGATCTTGGGATACGGGTGGACCCTAAGTTAAACATGAGCAGCCAGTGTGATGCGGCGACAAAAAAGGCTAATGCGATCTCGGGGTGGGCTCTTTTTGTAGCAGGTACTCATTTGCATATTAAGCAACACACCCCTAATGTAGCCAATCCTCCAAGAGCTTACAGTAGCTCCTGTAAGAAGAGCTCTGTAAGCTCTTGGAGGATTGGCTACATTAGGGGTGTGTGGCCTAATATGAAAGGAGTCCCTGCTACAAATCCTTTTTAAATTAAATTAAATTTAAATTAAATCGCCAGATGTCATAGCCCCGCTGTACACTGCATTGGTCAGGCCACCCCTAAAGTCTTGTGTGCAGTTCTGGAGGCCTCACTTCCAAAAGGATGTGGACAGAATGGAGCGGGTGCAGAGGAGAGCGACGAGGATGATCGGGGGCCTGGAGACCAAGCCCTGTGAGGAAAGGCTGAGGGACTTGGGAATGTTCCGTCTGGAGAAGAGGAGGTGGAGGGGGGGACTCACCGGGATAAAAAGGACGCAGCCCAGGAGGGTCCCCGTCAGAGCGGACTTGACGATTTCCTCGTAGCACTTGTTCTTCTCGCGCGTGCCTTTGATGAGCGCCGTGATGTAGAACGTCAACTCGGTGACGGAGCCGAAGGTGGCGTTCACCACCGCCCCCACCGCAAAGGTACTCTGGGCGGAGATGCTGGAAGATCAAGAGAGAGCAGTGGGGACCTCGAAGAGACCAAGCTGTTGAGCCCAACCGGCTAAACTGGAATGGGGGAAAGATCCGGATTCAAATCACTCCCTAGCCGTGAAGCAGACTCAACTGCACCCACCTCACAGGGTCGTTGTGGGGATAAAACGAGAAACAGAGACCCCCAAAAGGAGCTGGGTATATTTAGCCTGGAGAGGAGACGGCTGAGAGGTGATATGATAACCATCTTGAAGGACTTGAAGGGCTGTCCTATAGAGGATGGTGCGGAGTTGTTTTCTGTTGCCCCAGAAGGTCAGACCAGAACCAACGAGTGGAAATGAAATCAGAAGAGTTTTCGGCTAAACATCTGGAAGGACTCCCTGACTTTTAGAGCTGTTCCTCAGTGGAACAGGCTTCCTCGGGAGGTGGTGGGCCCTCCTTCTTGGGAGGTTTTCAAGCAGGGGCCAGATGGTCATCGGACAGCAGTGCTGATTTTGTGAACTGAGGCCGATCACGAGAGGGAGGGCAGGAAGGGTTGCCTCAGTGCTTGGTTCTCGTGGCCCTTTCTTACACGCCCAGGGAAAAATGCTGATCGCCACTTTGGGGTCAGGGAGCCATTTTCTACAGGCCAGTTTTGGCTGGAGATCCTGGAGCTTTTTTGCCCTCGTCTGGATGTGGAGCAGGGGTCACTGTGTGTGTGTGTATTTGTGAATTTCCTGCACTGTGCGGGAGGTTGGACTAGATGACTTTGGAGATCCCTTCCAACTTTATGATTCTGTGATTCTAACCTCAAGCTCCGCAAAGGAAGATGGGGATTTTTAAAAAGGCAACAGAGACTGTAGGAAGGAGCTCTCTGTTCGCCCATCCTAAACCGCTTTGTAAACTATATCTGCTAGATTTGATCAAGACAGGTCGCCGTGTTAGTCTGTCTGTATAAATCTGTATAAGCCGTGTTAGTCTGTCTGTATAAGTCTGTATAAGCTCAAGTGGTTAAGATGCTGAACTGCAGGCTGTGGAAGGTCAGTAGTTCAGCAGTTCGAGACCCGAGTGTGCCGCATGACGGAGTGAGCTCCCGTCTCCAGTTCCGGCTCCTGCCAACCTAGCAGTTCAAAAGCAAGAAATTGCAAGTAGATAAATAGGGACCCTCATGGATCACTGCCTTGTCGTGGCGAGGGGGCTTGCGCAGTTCAATGAAGCTGTGGGCTATGCCGTGAAGGGCCACCCAAGACGGACAGGCCACAGCAGAGAACTCAGACCAAGCGTGATCCACCTGGAGAAGGAAATGGCAACCCACTCCAGTATGTTTGCCAAGAAAACCCCATGGACAGTATCAAAAGGCTAAAAGATATGACGCCGGAAGATGAGCCCCTCAGGTCGGAAGGTGTCCAATATGCTACTGAGGAAGAGCAGAGGACAAGTACAAGTAACCCCAGAAAGAGTGAAGCGGCTGGGCCAAAGCCGAAAGGACGCTCAGTTGTGGATGTGTCTGATGGTGAAAGGAAAGTCCGATGCTGCAAAGAACAATACTGCATAGGAACCTGGAATGTAAGATCTATGAATCAAGGTAAGCTTGACGTGGTCAAAAATGAGATGGCAAGACTGAACATCGATATCCTAGGAATCAGTGAACTAAAGTGGACAGGAATGGGCGAATTTAACTCAGAAGACCATTATATCTACTACTGTGGCCAGGAATCTCGTAGAAAAAATGGTGTGGCCTTTATAGTCAACAAGAGAGTGCAAAAGGCAGTACTGGGATACAATCTCAAAAATGACAGAATGATTTCTGTCCGATTCCAAGGCAAACCATTCAACATCACAGTAATCCAAGTCTATGCCCCAACCACTGATGCAGAAGAGGCTGAAGTGGACCGGTTCTATGAAGACCTACAACACCTCCTAGAACTAACACCAAAAAATGATGTCCTCATCATCATAGGGGACTGGAATGCTAAAGTAGGAAGTCAAAAGGTAACTGGAATAACAGACAAGTTTGGCCTTGGAAAGCAAAATGAAGCAGGGCAAAGGTTAACAGAGTTTTGTCAAGAGAACACACTGGTCATAGCGAACACCCTTTTCCAACAACCTAAGAGGCGACTCTACACATGGACATCACCAGATGGGCAACACCGAAATCAGATTGACTATATAATTTGCAGTCAAAGATGGAGAAGCTCTATCCAGTCAGTAAAAACAAGACCTGGAGCTGACTGTGGTTCAGATCATGAGCTACTCATTGCAAAATTCAGACTTAAACTGAAGAAAATTGGGAAAACCACGAGGCCATTCAGGTTTGACCTAGATCGCATCCCTGATGAATATACAGTAGAGGTGAAGAATAGATTCAAGGGTCTGGATTTGATAGATAGAGTGCCTGAAGAACTATGGACAGAGGTTCGTGACATCGTACAGGAGGCAGCAATCACCACCATACCAAAGAAAAAGAAATGCAAGAAAGCAAAATGGCTTTCTGATGAGGCTTTACAAATAGCAGAGGAAAGAAGGAAAGCGAAAGGCAAAGGCGAAAAGGAAAGATTTACCCAACTGAACGCAGATTTCCAGAGAACAGCAAGGAGAGATAAGGAGGCCTTCCTGAATGAACAGTGCAAAGTAATAGAAGAAAACAATAGAATGGGAAGGACTAGAGATCTCTTCAAGAAAATTGGAGAAATCAAGGGAGCGTTCCATGCAAAGCTGGCCATGATAAAGGACAAAAACGGTAGGGACCTAACAGAAGCAGAAGAGATTAGGAAAAGATGGCAAGAATACACAGAAGAACTATACAAGAAAGACCTCAATGTCCTTGACAAACACGACGGTATAATCACTGACCTTGAGCCAGACATCCTGGAATGTGAAGTTAAATGGGCCTTAGAAAGCATTACTAACAACAAAGCTAGTGGAGGTGATGGTATTCCAGCTGAGCTATTCAAAGTCTTAGAAGATGATGCTGTTAAAGTTCTGCACTCCATTTGCCAGCAAATTTGGAAAACGCAACAGTGGCCACAGGATTGGAAAAGATCAGTATACATTCCAATCCCAAAGAAGGGCAATGCCAAGGAATGTTCAAACTATCGCACAATTGCACTCATATCACACGCTAGCAAGGTCATGCTCAAGATCCTACAAGCTAGGCTTCAACAGTACGTGGATAGAGAACTACCAGAAGTACAAGCTGGGTTTCGAAGAGGTAGAGGAACGAGAGATCATATTGCCAACATTCGCTGGATTATGGAGAAAGCAAGAGAGTACCAGAAAAATATCTACTTCTGCTTCATTGACTATGCTAAAGCCTTTGACTGTGTGGATCACAACAAACTATGGCAGGTCCTTAAAGAGATGGGAGTACCAGACCACCTCACATGTCTCTTGAGAAACCTGTATAAGGGCCAAGAAGCGACAGTTAGAACCGGATACGGAACAACTGATTGGTTCAGCATAGGAAAAGGAGTACGACAAGGATGTATACTGTCACCTTGCTTATTTAATATATATGCAGAGTACATCATGCGAAATGCTGGCCTGGATGAATCACAAGCGGGAATTAAGATTGCTGGGGAAAAGATCAACAACCTCAGATATGCAGATGATACCACTCTAATGGCTGAAAGTGAAAAGGATCTAAAGAGCCTCTTGCTCAGAGTAAAAGAGGAGAGCGCAAAAGTGGGCTTGAAGCTCAACATCAAAAAAACTAAGATCATGGCATCCGGCCCCATCACTCCTTGGCAAATAGAAGGGGAAGTCGTGGAAGTAGTGACAGACTTCACGTTCCTGGGATCCCAGATCACCGCAGACTGTGACTGCAGCCATGAAATTAAAAGACGCCTGCTCCTTGGGAGGAAAGCGATGGCGAACCTAAACAGCATGATAAAAAGTAGAGACATCACCCTGCCAACAAAAGTCCGCATGGTCAAAGCAATGGTATTCCCAGTAGTCATGTATGGCTGCGAGAGCTGGACTATAAGGAAGGCCGAGCGCCGAAGAATAGATTCTTTTGAACTATGGTGCTGGAGGAGACTCTTGAGAGTCCCTTGGACTGCAAGAAGAACAAATCAGTCAATCCTCAAAGAAATCAACCCTGACTGTTCCCTGGAAGGCCAGATAATGAAACTGAAGCTCAAATACTTTGGCCACCAAATGAGAAGGGAGCACTCACTGGAGAAGACCCTGATGCTTGGAAAGATTGAAGGTCAAAGAAGACGGGGACGGCAAAGGATGAGATGGTTAGACAGTGTCATCGATGCAACGAACATGAAGTTGAGCCAACTTCAGAGGACGGCAGAAGACCGGAAGGCCTGGAGAGAGCTCGTCCATGGGGTCGCGAAGAGTCGGACTCGACTGTGCGACTGAACAACAAAAAATAGGGACCACTTCGGTGGGAAGGGAACAGCATTCCGTGCGCCTTGGCATTTAGTCATGCCGGCCACATGACCACAGAAATGTCTTCGGACAGCGCTGGCTCTTCGGCTTTGAAACGGAAATGAGCACCGCAACCCTAGAGTCGGATTCGACTGGCTTTCGATTAAGGGAACCTTTACCTTTATAAGTAGAAAAGAGCAAGAGCCCAGGAGCACCTTCAAGACTAACAAAACATCTGGCAGGGGAGGAGTTTTCGTAAGCCACTGCATCTGAAGAAGTGAGCCATGATTCACAAAAGCTCCTCTCCTGCCACAAATTTGCTTAGTCTTTACGGTGCTCCTGGACGCTTGCTCTTTTCTACTGCTAGATTTGAGTAGACTTTGCAGGGAGATGCAGGGACTTCCCTTCGTCAACACCTTAGAGACCAACAAGATATTTGAGGTGCAAGCTTTCGAGAGTCAAAACTCCCTTCGTCAGATACCAGCAGGCATGGAGAACCCTACGTCCTTATATCCCAATCGGAAGGTGGGACGGGTGTTGCAAAGAAAAGAGTCAAGACATAGAGGTGCCCCTCTCGCTTTGGCTGGGCTATCAGGACGCAGCGACAGTGTTCCCTCTAAGCTGGGTTAGCGTGAGCTGGCTCACAGTTT